AAAAAAAAAAAAAGAAAAAAAAAAAAAAAAAAAGATTGTTTCGTCGGAGTTGCACCGACTCGTCAAGCGGCTGAACCCTCAACAATCTGCAAAATCTCTGTATTTATGGTTTCGGTCATGAATCCTTTGATCCATGTTGAAGGCTGACTGTTGCATACTAGTGAAAGTGAACACAAGTATTATGCGGAACCTACAACCGACCATTACAAAGAGCAATACAATGCACCGGAAGACTTGAAAACATGGATCTGAACTCACATCTGACTCGGACTCCAGACAGGCTCACACGCATACATGCATCGGGTTAGAAGGCCTGGCGCTCAAACATAGAGGATGCGCCAGGGCCTGTACACATCACGCACGGACGAACGTAGGAGGAAGAGATGAAGGGAGGAGGAGGAGATGGCCCCAGCATAAAGTCACCGAGATAGTAATCCGAAATGTCGCAGATACAGAATCTTGAAATGTCGAAGATACAGAATCTCGGAATGTTGAAGTTACAGAATCTTGGAATGTCGAAGTTACGGAATCTCGAAGTGCCGTTGGTAACAGATCGCCAAATAGATTCTGTCCCAACACCCTACTCTGAAATAGTCTCAGTCATGATGTCACCGATACCTCACCAATGATCTCTGTCCCATAGTAACCGAGAATGTAGAAGGTTAGAAGAAGGTGATGATGAAGAAGGAGAAGAAGAAGAAGGAGAAGGAGAAGAAGAAGAAGAAGAAGAAGAAGAAGAAGAAGAAGAAGAAGAAGACTGAGAGGGGCAGAGGAGAGGCGGAGATGGAGGTATGGGGCGGAGGAAGATCCTCCTGCCCGGAGCCAGTGCTCAGGCACCAACCTGCAGGTGCCAGGTGCCGCCTTGGAGCTGCTGGGGACCTGCCTTCGACGCTGGAGCTATGGCGCTCGCAGGTAAGTGCCAGGTAAGTCGCTACTCTCTCTCCCTCACCACTGCAGCTAGCGCTAAACTTAGCGCTGCTGTTCTGGAGCTGCGCTAACCAAAATAGCGCAGCGTTGCTCTTCAATGTCGCGGCCTCTAGTCTGTCCCCCGAACAGACCGCTTGCTGGTACTAAGTACCGGCCGTGGTCTGTTCGGCCTGGCTGCTGGTGAAGACGCGACTGGATCCGGACCGTCGATTGCCTCAGACGGTTCAGATCGGACCCGCGGGAAAGTGGCAGCCTCAATGTTCGGCCGCCAGGCTCGAACGGAAACGTTTGAGTCGGTTTCCCGCTTTAGGGCCTGCTGCCGCAGACCCGGGTCTGAACCGGTTTTGCTGGGGCCTACCGTCGGCCTTTCCGAAGGTCCGGCCTTTAACCCAGGCCGGACTGGCCCAGCATGGCCACGGTCTGGGATAACCCCCTAGACCTAGCCGTCTGGCCTAACAGGGCCCGTGTGGAATCCAGAGTGTAACACTGACTGTCCCCAGGGCCTAAGCGGAACATAGCAGTGGGCAGCAACACAGCGAAGCACCAGGCAATGCTGCCGAGAAAACACGACTGCACAACACCTAAAACAACTGCAATGAATGACACGGCAAGAGGACGAGCAGCACAGAAAACCTGGAGTGAAGCACAAGGCAACACCAGCAAGGCAGCCAGACTACACAGCACAAAAGCCAAGGATGCGGAAGGCAAGGCACGCAGATGGGCAGCAAGGCAGCAGAGCAGCGAAGCACAATGCAATACCAATGCCGCAGCCACAACACACAGTGAACACAGCAGCTTGCCAAGAATGATGTGTGAAGCAAGCGTGATGGACAGCAAGGCAGCAGCAGAGCGCAGACGAGGCAGTCTACACATGCAACACAGAGCGAAGGGGCACGTCACCTACTCACATCAAGGGTGAACCCCGCAGACTGTTGGTTCCCACCACCCACTGAGCCAGGAAGTCACTCCGACAGACATCTGTCATCACCCATAGACCATATGCACGACATGGACATTCATGAGCAGAGTGGCTCCCCTAATAGTCCAGGACCTGCAGGCATTCCAAACAACAGACCACCAACTGTCTAGCACTTCTTAAGGGTGCTCACTCAGACACACAGAAAGTACTTAGAAAAAAAGCAGCCAGAAGTTCCAGAACGACATACGGAGAAGACAGGGAGAAAGGCAAAGAAAAAACAAATCGAAAAAAAGACACATCATTGCTTGTGTGTGTGTGTGTGTGTGGGTGTGGGTGTGGGTGTGGGTGTGGGTGTGGGTGTGGCTTCTGCGACCGTGTCGCAGCATGATGCGTTGGAAGGTGTGCTTATACACAACACCGGGAAAGAGCCTGCAGCCCAGGATGCCCATAGAAAATAATACTTATAAAGCCCAGCTTTCAAAAGTCAAAGAAAACAAACCGGCCAACGGTAAGAGAAGTACAACAAGACAAACAAAACGGCAAGGCTGAGGTCAAGACACAACACGGTACTTGGATGACACACCGGAGCAAAGGAAAAGGGGTGGAGGACAAGGGGGAGGCGGGCAGGCAGACAAACAGCAGTAGGCAGAAGAATGAGGTGGCAACAACAAGGCAACAAGGCAGACAAAAGAATAAACAGCAAAAAAAACAAAGCGAAAAAAACAAAACATGATAGATTGTTTCGTTGGAGTTGCACCGACTCATCAGGAGCCTGAACCCTCTACAATCTGCGGAATCCCCGTATTTGATGGTTTGGGTCATGAACCCTTTGACCCATGTTGAAGGCAGACTGTCCCCAAGAGGAACATAGCAGCAACAACACTGCAGGGGACGACAAGGCGAGTGAACCAGCAGTTGGGCAACCATGGAGCGGAGCACAAGGCACCAGCAACAAGGCAACCAACCTACAGGGAACACGCGCGGCAAGCACGGAAGGCACGGCCAACGGATGAGCAGCACGGCAGCGGAGCAGCGAAGCGCAAGGCAACACCAACAACACGGCCACATCGCACAGCAAACACATCAACCCGCAAAGAACCACACGCGAAGCAAGCGGGACAGGCAGCAGGGCAGCGGCGGAGCGCAGACGAGGACATCCACACATCCAACACGGAGCAAAGCAGCACATSACCTACTCACATCACGATAGAACCCCGCAGACTGTTGGTTCCCACCACCCACTGAGCCAGGGAGTCACTCCGACGAACATCCGTCGTCACCGACAGGCAACACAGACATCCCGAACCGAGCAGCCCCCATAAGAGTGCAGTAGGCACTCCAAACGAGGAACCACCGACTGTTTGGCACTACTTAAGGGTGCTCAGTTGAACACAAAAAAAAACTTAGAAAAAAATCATGGGGAGGACATACAACAGAAGAAGGACCAACAGACATAAAACTGATTGTGTGTGTGTGTGTGTGTGTGTGTGTGTGTGTGTGTGTGTGTGTTCATTGGGCTGGTGTTGAGACCATGCATGCTTCTCTCAGGAGTTCACGCATTTGTTGCCTTTTATGTCGTTTCAAAAGGTGTAATTTAGCCTCTGCCCCCTTGCGCCGTTTATGGCCGACGAGCTCTTCCTACTCAAGCATAGAAGCAATGTGTGCTGTCCATGCAATCCATGGACATCCGGCGGACGCCAGACAAGGACAACAAAAATGGAAGGGAGGGGTTGTGGAAGGGCGTTGGAAGTTGTCTGGGGTAGGTCACGGTCAAGGCCCGGGATTGAGGGGATGGTGAGGAGCAATTTTTCAGAGGAAGACGTATGCGAAAGGAGGGGGATAGGAGGAGGTTATGATTTACACTACCCACCAGTTCAACTAAGTTAGGGGATTTGCAAGTGTGTCACATACACTGGTATGCATAGCGGCGACATCTGTTCAGCGGGCCAAACGTCACCGCGATGCATACAAGCGTACGTGACACGCTCGCAGAACCCATAACTTACTTGAAATGGTGGATAGTGTAAACTATCATGTATCTATTCTTCTCCGCTTTCATGAAACTAGATGGAACAGGAAAGCCATGCTGTACACCTCGAGCATGTCAACGTAGAAGAAACTGGAATTGCAGTTTGTGGACCTCCATAGCTGCTACCTTGCTTGGCAGATAGTCCCAACCCGCGTCTGTTTTTAATGCAGAGTCTCTTGAATGCTCAATTTCAGACAGAAAGATGCTTGCTTCCCTTGTAATTTAACAGGCATTAAGTGGATCTATGCAGTAGGTTCGGCAACCCTCAGCGTGTCGTAAATCTCATTATATTATCTCGTCTGTGGATGTACCAGGTGTTTGAAAACTGATTATATCCACAAGCTGAGACGTTCGAGTTGAGAGCCCAGCCGCAGAGCATTACATGAGGACTCTCGGAAGGAGGCAGAAAGGCACTGATGCTGATAACAATCAGATCATTACGATGGGCCGGTGTGCTGATCTGCAAGCAACCAAAATGCAACTGGACGTCTCCTGAGGTTTCACAAAGTGAACTAGAGATCTCTCGCGCAGATGAGAGGACAGACACATCGCAGCTTGAATGCCTTTTATCCTCTACATAACGTAATAACAATAAATTGAAACTACTACGTCTGGGTCATGGTTTGAGTTTCCAATTCGGTTAAAAAGACATGAAATGAAGTTTTGCGGCAGCCGTAGTTTGGAATGAACGAAAATAGCGGAAAAAATAGCGGTGAATTTTTTTGGCCCTTTTTTTTAACTCAGGCCCTCTACACTCCACGGCGCGCCCCTGTAGTTGCGACATCGGCGCTAATTAGAAAGTGCCATGCAGCTTTTATTGCCTTTTCAAACTTGGTGGCGGCTTTTATTGCCTTTCCGAACTGGGTGCGTGAGTGACCCGCCGGTACGTGTTCTTTTGACCAATTCGGAACTCGTTTTCGATTGGCTCTAATGAATTTGTGAGATCCTTGGGAACTGAAACAAAATGGATGATCTTTCGGATGCGCTAACAGATGATGCGAGCGTAGAACAAACACTCACTGAGAGTGCAGGCGTGCGGCTCAAGGAAGACTTGAAAAAGCTAAGTCCACCACAGGCAAGGACAAATCTTTTTTTCTTACTAGGAGTGGTGGTAAGAGCAGACACTCCTACCGTCTTCACCCGAATATAACGCCCGGTCATTGTAGCTGTATTTGGCACAATTTTCCGCCCAGATATGGCGATAATTACCGGGCGTTCTATTCGGGTGAAGACGGTAGTAAGTTCTCTGTCGGTTGCTCCATCGATTGGATGGGAGCTTCACCTGCTGGAAATCCGGTCCAGCGTCCCTTGGAACATAAAAGAATGCATGATTTTCCCTCGTACCCCACGCCGGTTCGTGGGCCCGATGGTCGTCGCTGCAACTTCGTCCCTGGGCCCGTCACCCAGGGTCCCTAACCTGAAGAGTGGGTCTCGCGCCGGCATCACGCGAGACCCGTCTTTTCCTTTAGTAGTATGTAGACAAGAATGCATGATTGTGACAGGATGTAAGAAAAGACAAGACCCCCGGAGGGCCTCTAAAGATGACTCGATACCTCTTCACCCTACTACGGGAAGTATCCTGCCCTGGTACCTGTGTATGTGTATTGCCAGGAACCCCTAAACCCTAAACCCTAAAGGCATTCTGAAGATGTAGTTGACTTCCCCCTGAGGATTTGCCTTCCTGCAGCCCACTGAGAATCCCCTCGAACCCACGTGACCCCCTTTTTTTCCAGAACTCTTTGGAGAATCAAGACGGCAAGTTGTGCCTCGTCTCCCAAATATTGAGCACCATATTTAAATTTTAAACCTTATATACGCTAGTACTTCGCAGAATGAGGACTGGAGAATTGATATTAAAAGCTTCTACAAGATAAATTAAAAGCGTAAGTTTTCAGAAAAACAGGCCCATAAATTCAAGTATTCTAAAATATGACCAAACATAACAAACACAAAATAACTATTCCGCCTCATACCAACTCTGATGCCCCAGACCTGTTGAGGATGGACGCAAGAGATCCAGAAAGAGGGCAGAGTGGTATGGAGGGATCTAAGGTTGACTACCGGTTGTCCTGGAAAACAAGATGAAAATCCCTTCTTCTTATGTCCCCTTGCTCACCCCCCTGTGCCCCATCCCACTGTATTTTCCCAGGCCTCCCCCCTTGATTTCCCCCTAGGGCCCTAGCCAGCCGCCACTAAAATGTTGTATAATCTGCGAGGTTTCCTTTTTTGACAAGAGATTTGTGTTTTTCTTGTTTTCATATTGTTTAAAAGGGCCTTTACCTGATTCAGACCCTGTTCGGCAAATGCAGCATAGAGGGGTCACTCGCCAGGGCCCAACTCGTGAAAGCAGATCAAAGGACATGTTCTCTGGGTCAAAAGTCACATCCTAGCTAAGTAAAAGCCAATGTCAAAGGTCACAGTTGTGCCCTGTACGAACAGCTGCAATATCTGAACTTGGGAGTCACATCTGTTCGTACAGGGGGGTGCGCAGGTCATGTCTGTTCAGGCAAGAGATGTGTCTGTACGTACAGTATGTGTCTGTTCGTGCAGTATGAGTGTCTGTTCGTGCAGAATGTGTGTCCGTCCAAAAGGAAGTCAAAGGGCAGGTTCCCAGTTCTATCTAAGTCTAGTAGGGGGTCTAGATTCAGACACCCAGTCCGAAATCCAAGCCAAAGGGTCTGGGACACACACATCTGCATGGGTCTGGGACACACACATATGCATGGGTCTGGGACTGAAGGAGGCCCAAAGTGCCAATACAGACCAATGCAGACCTCGCCAGGGGAGGCCAGCAGTATAAAGCAATAGGCCATCCTCCCTTGACATCAGATTCCCATGGCTCCCTTGACATCAGATTCCCATGGCATTATCAGCGTGGAAGTGCTGCGTGCACTTGTGTGCTGGCTAGCTGGGTTAGCGCTGGAGGAGAAGCTGCGCTGGAAGGAAGAAGGAGCTGGGCGCTGGCTTGCAAGAGGCAGCCATAGATGCACCAGCCAAGTAGCAAAGTTAGAGGGTTAGTTGTTAGTCTACAGTGAGTAGCATTCAAAGTAGATCTTCGTGGTAGGAGTGTGCATGTATGATGAGAGAGGACTAAGACTGAGATCTTGAGTGTGAGAGAGAGAGAGGGAGAAGAAGGACAGGTTGACGAATGGCTATGGTGACTACTTACCTGTTCTGCGCTCGCTGGTTGCTGTGAGAGGTGGCGCTGGCTAGGCCAGGCCCCATTGTGTTGATGTTCGAGCTAGAGACAGGTCATGTTGTTGAGCGCCTGGAGACATGAACTCAGGATACTCTTTATAGTGTGTTTGGGATAATATGAGCTGCGCGACTTGGTTCTCATCTCACCCCCATTCTGCGTTGTGTGTGGAGTCATAATGTTACATGCTGCGCCTGCACACGAGGGCCATTTTCCAGGCCCTGCGTCGTTCAGACTGGAAGCCTGAATTTCAGGCTCAAGGCCTGGAAATAAGGGCCTGCAGACCCCAGGACGGTTCAGCCCAAAAGCCGGACATCCGGGGCCCACAGGACCTGCATC